TATATATAAATTAAAAATAAAAATTTAGTAAAATTAAAAAAAATATATATATGTTTTACTGTATTTTAAAATATTTTTATCCCTCTCTTATTCGCCTTTGGACATTTTCAGTTTGGATTTAAAAAGGGAATATTTTTATTTCGGGTTTCCAGATTAAGAAATTCATACATTATATTGATCTGCTCAAATTGTGTCTGGTCACAAAACTTGTATTATATTTTTTTCTATACACACAAAGTAATTTAGATTAATAAATATTATAATGATATCCCAAATTCAGATTTGGTAGCATAAAATTTACTATTAATGAAGCTTAAATTAAAATGACTTTCATCAGCTTCAATTTTGTATATAAACATATATAATGAATTATATATTTGTGTTTAATATCAGTTAACTAAAAACTAAACTAGATGCGAAATGTGAAAATCTTTATACATATTATTAGATATAATAAAACAAAAAAACAAAAATTTGTATATGGGACAGCTTAAATTTACATTTTCTGCATAAACACAGTCAGAGACAAATACTGCATTTGTATACCAATTTTTATTAGCCATCGTAGCTCTTGCCATACGCAGGGTATTTTTAAAGACGTGCTAAAAATTTGAAATGATAATATTCATGTAAAAGAGTAGAAATTAAAGCGACATAATGCGAAAGATTTTGTGTGATATGAAACTCTTGAGCAAATGTTAGCGATTGGCATACAAAATTGCAGATATATAGAGATATGTTTATGTGCTAATGTGTGTGGAGGAGAGATGTACAGATGGTGGGGCTATAAGTGAGATGGAGAAAAACAAATACATAAATAAAAAGCAAAATTAAAGTGAAATTTTTTTATCCATGCCGCCTGCAAACTAGTTAATTTTCTATTTTACTCCAATTTGAGCGATGCCCGTTGCCGTGTGGTTGCTTTCATCATAAGTAGAGCCGCTGTTGCTGCTGCTGCTGTTGTTGCTGTTGTTGTTGCTGTTGTTGTTGCTGCTGCTTATATGCTATGATTGGCTGGCTTTGCTGGCGTTTGATTAGAGCTCGCTTTAAATGCCACATCAAGTCACGTGTCTGCAATTTCTAATGGTTCGATCAGTGGAGCGTCTAGCAGCACGCACCACTTTCAGCCCCAGACCACACTCTGAGCTCGATGGTTCTCAGGCAGCCGAAAGTGTGCCACTTGTGCAGGCGCCAATGCAAAATTTTGAGCTGTCAAAAATTAATGCACGCCAAACTGATTCAAATCATTTAGCGGCTAGGTGTGTCTGAGTCTGTGTGTGTGTATTTGTGTCTGTGTGTGTGTGTGCAAATAGTTAAGTGCTGTTTAAGTCTGTTGACAAACAACAATAACAACAACAGCAGCAACAGTCGCTAACAAGCCAGCGCAGCGCTGCTGGCAGCGACTGCGACGTCGACCGTGACTGCGACACTGCGTCAGCATAGCTCACACTCACACTCACGCACACACATGCACGCACGCACACTGCAGTGCACTGCTGGCCAGGCCAAGCCAAGTCAAGCCAGGTTGCATCAAGAGCCGCAACCGTTGCGCTTCGCTGTGGTTGTGAATGTGGCGATTGTGGTTGTGGTTGTGGCTGTGGCTGTGGTTGTGCTTGACGTCGTCTTCGTCAGGTTGTTTATTTAAATTCTAAGCTCGGCTACTGTTTGAGTCGCCATGTGTGTGTGTGTGTGTGTGTGTGAGTGTTGGGGATGCGGCTAGCGCGTCGTGAGTCGTCGTTGCCATCGACGTCGTTGTCGGTGTCGTTGTCGGTGTCGTTGTCGTTGTCAGCAACGCCGCTGCTGGCCGGGAATAAAACTCGATCCGCGTGCGTCTTCTAGCCACAGTTTACGGATTGCCTTCTGACCGACAGATCGAATAAGCCAATCGAGCGCAGTGCACTCAATCAACTGTACAGCTGAGACTCAGACAGAGTCGTGTGCCCAAATCAAGGATAATCAATACCAAGTGTCAAGTGTTGTTGTAGTGTGTTGCGTCAGATCCCACGCTGCTCCCCGCTCACGCAAAGAGAATTAAACAAAAACAAATTCAATTATGCTGAAATTCGTGTGCCTGTTCGCGCTGCTTGCCTCAGCGGCAGCAGCAGCCTCTGAGGCTGACAGCCTGTTGACGAGTGCCCTTCGCATGGTCAAGGACTGCGGCGAGCGCTCCATGGTGCTGTGCATGAAGGTAAACAAAAAAAAAAAAAAAAAACAAAAACAAAAAACGAAATAGAAAACAACAACAGTGTGTAGAGCGCGGCTTTATCAATCGATTATCTAATATCACAAATATGAAAACATTACCCACTCACACACACTCACACACATACACTCTTATGTAAACAGGAGCGCGCCTTGCACTACTTTGACTCGGAGAACGGAGATGTGAAGCTGACGGAGGGCATTTCCCTGGTCAAGACCGATGATATACCCGTGGGACGTTCCCTGAACGATGTGGCCCTGCCCGAGGAGGCGGAGGCACGCGAGAGTGAGGTCGACTCGCTGCTGGTGGAGCGTGTCGCACGCTTCTTCGGCACACACACGCTGCAGTTCAAGGTGCCCAAGGACTCCATACAGGATATGCAGCGCGCTCTCGAAGAATGTGAGTAAAGCATATCAAACTAGCCAAGCAGCCAAACGGCCAATCAACCTGCTTGCTCTTTGCTTCTGGCTTACTGGTTCTGCGCTATTCTGCCAATTTGGGTTAGTGGTGCAATTATCGTCGTCAGCGCGCTGCAGTTGCGTCTGGCTGCCCACCTGCAGCAGCAGCAGCAGACGCAAACTGGGCATCGCTGGAAATCCTGTTTTCACTGTTAGCTGTCGCACACACATGCACACATTGGGGTCAGAGCCAGCCAGCAGGACCGATGCGGTGGCTCTTGGTCTAGCGGTGCATTGACAGGCGCTTGTGGCATGCAGCTTGGCAAGCCACCTTGTTGCCGCTTGTTGCCGCTCGTTGCCGCTCGTTGCAATTAATTGCATTTTAGCCAGTTCAGCGCGGCTCGGGCGCACTTTCTTTTCTGTGCGATTTCCGACCATAGAAAGCAGCCAATCCTGTTCGCCGCTTCATTATTCATTGCTCATTGCCGTCCAATTAATAATTATGCGCCTTGCTCCAGTTGCTAATGAGCAGATAACAAGCCAATGGCCAGCCAGCAAGCGAAAGTATCGCATGTCAAGCAGACACTTATCAAATGAATTTATTTTATTTTAATATCTTATTTTTGCTTGCTTAATTTGTTTTGTTTAGCACGCGGCAAGAAGAAGGAGAAGAAGAAGTATCTGATGCCGCTGCTGATGCTCTTCAAGCTGAAGATGGCCGCGCTGCTGCCCCTGGCCATTGGCTTCCTGGCGCTCATCTCGTTCAAGGCTCTGGTCATTGGCAAGATTGCGCTGCTGCTCTCTGGCATCATCGGTCTGAAGAAGCTGCTCGAGTCGAAGAAGGAGAACTACGAGGTGGTTGCGCACCCGCACTATGAGCACGAGCACAGCTACGGCCGGTCGCTGCACAACAATGCTGAGGCACAGAACCTGGCCTACGCGGCGTATCAGCAATAGATGCTGAGGTCACAGCATCAGAGCAACAACAATTAGTGCAATACACACAAAAGAAGATGATGAAGAGGAAAACTCATGAAAGTGAAGGAAATGCAAAGGAAATGAGCACAGAGCTCTCGCAGCTCGTTTAATTTATTTTATTTATTTAATTTATTTCTAGCTTAACTCAAGCRAAAGGCGCCATCAGCAGCAGCAGCAACACAAAACAAACAAAAAGAAAACAAAGAAAAAAACACTGTCAAACAAGAGAAATGAAACCCTAGTTAATAAGATCTAACAAACATGAAGTCGGCTGTAATTGCAGTCGGCTAAATGAAAGCGGGGGCGGCACTTGCTCAAACTTAAACTTAACCAAACTGTTAACTGTAAACTATAAATTATAACTTTAAACTGTAAACTGTAAACTGTAAACTGTAAACTCTAAACTGTTAACTCTTAACTGTTAACTGTACTCGTGTACTTGTATTATGTGTAATTATTTGCTCATAGCTTTACTATTTTTTACAACTATTAACTATATACAGTTTCTGATTGTTTTACGACAAGCCACACACAAACTACTCTGTCCAGTCAACGTTTCGCCACGCCCCCACGCACGCACCCAATTGCCCCAACTCACACGCACACGCACACGCACACMCAGACACAGACACTCAAATGAAACTCAATAAAGCCGCATTTATCTGTAACCAAAAACATCGCTTTGCATTTCACAGGCATAACTACATATACATATATGCATACATATGTGTATATATGTTTATATTGCGCATACGCAACGTGCGCCGCATACAGCTCGCTCGCTTGCTTGCTTGCGTCTTTTTTTTCGGATTTTTTCTTGTGTTTTTCAAGTGAAATGCTTTCACTCTTTCACTAATAAAATGAATTACCAACTAAGGCGAACGAGGCCAGTGATATCAATTGCATGTGCGACACACAAAATCACACAGCAACAGCAACAACTGCACGAAGAAGTCGAAGCTGAAGCAGAAGCTGAAGCTGAAGCCGAGGCTGAGGAAGAATTTCACTTGCCAGCCAGCGCACTGAGGCGTGCAGGAGATCCCACTGAGAGCTGCAGTCGCTAGCTGCTGGCCAACCAGCTTCCTATTGGCCTAGACATTGCACATACACTCTCCAACATGCTCACGGCCCCCTGCCACCCACTCTCTGCCCACGCCAATGTGCTCATTGGTATCCGGTGTCGCTCCAAAATCAAATGAAAGTCCCCACATTTGGCTACGACCTGCTTTTTGCATGTGCAATTGCAGCACGTATGCTCTGCACGCCCCGCCCCGCCTCGCAATGTCAACGCTGCCATGAAGATGGGGCACGCCCCTGCTTGTGTGGGGGGAGTCGGTGCAATTTATGGCCGTATGGCAAAAGCCAAATGGCCAAAACGATTTCTTAACTGTTTGTCAACAATTTTCGCCTGCTGCAACTGTTGCTGCTGCTGCTGCTGCTGTCGTTCGTTGAATCTGAAATGTTGCTGGTGAAAGTGTTTATTAATACAATTTCTAGTGCTTGCGTTTGTCACAGTCTGTGGCAATGGGAAAACTAATTCCACTTATTTGTCCAGATTTGCGGCAATCGCTCAGATAAACTGCCCCAAACACAGCCAGAGCAATGCTCCTGAAAACTCTGCTCTGCCGCAGTTCGAGTGAGAAAACTTTGGCCAGGCTATGGCCCAAATTAAGCCTTAAAGTTCTGGCAAATTGCAAATTGGCCTACTCGAAAACAAGTGGGCTGCAGGGGGCGTGCCACTTGTGGTTACCTAAAGTTCACGACTGTCGGAATTCATTAGCAAAATATGCAAAACTTTATCAACCACTCGGCGGCTGAAGGGCCGTAGACGGTGTAGAGTGTATCTAACGACCTACCAGTTGCTGTTGTCGCCACAGTTGTTGTTGTAGTTGTTGTTATTAAGGGCTTTGTTGCACTCCGACGGGCTGGCAACACCGAAGCTTGTTTCAAGTTCCGCCTGAAAGTATGCAACACTTTCGAGTCAACTTTTTGCTGTTGGCCCAGAGCAGCCAAACGATCCATGGTGCGGTGCGAGTGGTCAACCGCTTTCGGATTGCTTTTCCCACAGCAACAACAACTGCAAGGACTAGAAAGGACAAATCATTAGGCAAGTGTGAGATGTCTGGGGAGTTTATTTACGCACACACATGCATTGCAGCAAAAATGAACCGATAGCAAATACAAAATGGAAACTGGAAAAATCATAAAAGTTTGTTTTACTGAGAAATATTAAGTAAATAAAGTATGAATGTGAACTGAGTCTGGAAAGTTAAACATAACATTTTACTATGAAATTCTTAAAAGCAACAAAATTTTTTGCTTCGAACTTAGGATTTTCGCCAGACGTTAAATTCCGAAAATAATTTTCTTAGAAAAATGTCTTAGGCCCAGACCTCGAGATGTGCTTTTATATTCTTAAAATAATTCGTAGTATAAAAATTCTTGCCATAAGTATTTGAAATAAGTGGCCAATGCAGCAGGTATGAAAATAGTTGAGAATCCTGTCGAATTTTTCAAGTAAACAGACTTAGAGCTCTGCTTTTTAGCAGAGGCAAAGCAATTTAGATATACTAGAGGAGCTATTTGGCTGCTCATCATATATATTTATATACTGGAAACATTCTATAGCGATAAAAGACAAGAACTCTCGGTATGCTGTAGCTCACAACGTGCCCTTCCAGAGGGACTAATTTTAGTCTCCTCTCTTTGTCTCTTTGCCGTTCTGTGTGTCCATTGAAAATCATAACGACTGTCTGCGTAGTCTAAGTAGCTATCTCACTCTCTTTTATTAACAGCTGGGACTATGCTCAACAACATATGTTTTTGTCTATTGCTCTCTCTTTCTCTCGCGCGCTCTCTCTCGCTCACTCTATCTCGCTCTCTCTCTCTCTTTGTCTCTCGCTCTCTCTCTCTCTCTCGCTCACTCTCTCTGTCTCTCTCATTCATAGTCATAGTTAGAATTAGAGAGAAGACTGCAGCTAACGTAGGGTACAATCAATAAAGAGTTGACTTTTCTGGTCAAGAAGAAAAGAGAATCTCCTATTCCTTTTACAACATTCAATCATGAGTTAGATGCGACATATATTTTAGAACAGTAAGTATGTATGTGAAATATATTTATATGAGCTATATGATTTAAAATGAAGCTAAAATAATATTTACATAATATAAAATTCTTTGAATTCTCGACATAAAGTTAGTTCTTCATCTGTGTCATAAATAGAATAAAATATTTTTTTTTTTTCTTTTTTTTTTTTAATTGCAATAATATATTGAAGTTACAGAGTTACAGAGAGAGAGAGAAGAGAGGGCGAGTGTAAGAGAGAGAAGTAGACGGTGAACTGAGAACTGCTTTACTCAGAATATGTCGCATAAACTTGAGCATATAATTTCAGCTAAAAATATTCTATTTATATAGATTTCTTTAGCTTTTGTTGAAATGCCGTTAGCATTCCAGATAAGAACTTTTAGTGGATTCATTTCGAAGCTGCAACGTTGTTTGGAGACTGACAATTTGGCCTTTCCCCAGTCCATACCTTAATCGAGTTGGTCAACTCAAGTACTATACTCTCGAGTTTTTCGATACGTTGGTTTACTTGCCTGTTATGCTGCTGCTGTTCTTGTTGCTGCCGCTGCAACCATGTGAGAAACTGTTGTTGTTGTTGCTGCTGGAGCTGCTGCTGCCACTGTTGGAACTGTTCCTGCTGCTGTTGCAACACTGCCTGTAAATCATAAGGGCTGTGTTGCAGATTATTCAAATTATGTTGCTGTGGAANAAAAAAAAAAAAATTTATATAGATTATATATATTTATACTCTTCACAATTGTCTCTCATTTTGTATAAAAAACTCAAGGGATTACTGCTTGGCACAAAGGCAACGCCTATTTCCTACAAAACTTAACTACACTACTAACTAGCTACAGATTTAACTCAATCGGAACGCTAATATCCGCTGATTTATTTTGGGCACTTACAAGATTTAAAAAACTTCAAATTTGACTCTTTAAATGGGCGTTCATTTGTGGTAATGCCATAATTGCAGACGCTTATTTGATGGAGCTGCCTGTATTGGATCTGAGCTGTGGCGCCTCTTTCATAACATTTCTGGAGCTCAACAATGGCTCATTATGTAATGGCCAAGATGTGCGAAAAGAAACAACAACAACAAAAAATTGGCCGCAAGTCGGCGCAGTGGGTCGCCGGCCGCGCGTGTGCACTGACCATGACCATGATGCCAGCTGCTGCAGAAGCACCCACAACACAAACAGCAACAACAACAACAACAACAACAACGTTGTCAGTCACTTGGCGTTGATGTACAACAATTTCCGTTATTGGGCCACGGCGGCGTTACATGTGCAAAAACTGAGCCGAACTCGAGCAGATTTTGGCCAAAATGTGAGTTGTATAACGCGACTGGTTCAACTATAAAGCGAACGGGTCAGCTGGCCAGCAGGCTCAGTTGAATCGCGTTCATCGAGCTGCACAGCATGGAAACTCTGCCGCCTCTGCTCTTGCCACTGCTGCTCCTCATCAGAGCCACAGCTGGCACCGACCTGCAGCAGGACAGCCTGGAGGAGCTGCAGCACTTCAAGCAGTGCGTGCGTGGCTCGGAGCGCGGCAAGCTGAGCGAATGCCTGGGCCGCTCCGCTCTCAACTTCATACAGCGCTTCGAGGAGCGGGACAATGTGACCTTTGTGGCCGACCTTGTGGCCGTCAAGCAGGAGACGGCCGCCAGTCGCTCGCTGGTGAATGTGCTGGACACAGATCCGGTGGACTTTCGCGGCATTCTGGAGAATGCGGGCGCTGTGATGGGACAGCGCAGCCTGGAGTGGCACATGGATGGCATCTATCCCGGCCTAATGTTCAAAATCGGACCCACCGCCGATGCGAACAGTGTGGCGGAGTTTGTGCTGGACCCTGATGCGCTCGACCAGCGGCAGTTTGGCTTTGAGGAGGCCAGCACAGGTGAGCTGTGAGACTCTCAGATAAAGCTAACTAAATTGAGTGACACATATATATGGTCATAGGTCGCGTGCTGGCCAAGCAGTATCTGGTGCCCTTTCTGCTCGGTCTGAAGTTCAATTTGGTGGCCCTGGTGCCGCTGCTCTTCGCTGGCATTTGCCTGCTGCTGAAGAAGTCCCTCTTCCTGGCCAAGCTGGCGATCTACGTGAGCAGCTTCCTGGGCCTCGGCGGCGTGCTGGGCACGCTGGGCGGCATTGGTGGCCTGGGTGGCCTTGGAGGCGGGGCCGCCGCCTTCGGCTATGGCGGTGGCTTCGGCGGACCACGCCCCATTGGCCATTTCCCGGGCAAAACAACAGTTTACAGTCACAACGATGAGCTGCACCATCAATCCTACAATGTGCGTGAGCCGCAGCCCTATAAACGCAGCGACCGCAAGGTGCGCTTCGAGCAGCCCCGGGAACAGCCAGCAGCGGCTGCTATCACCAAGCGACCCACCGAGGATCGTTTCTACGACTATGAGAAGCAGCACAGGGTAAAGAATCCGCTGGAGGACAGCATTGGCTCAGCGGATGCGCTAGTGCGCAGCCTGCAGGGCAGCTCTGGCTCCAGCCAGATGAATGGCTGGCAGGTTGTGGATGTGAGATCGCTGTGAGCTCGTATGGAATGCACTATATTAGAAAAGCTAGAAGAGTCTGATGGAAAATGGAAGCCAACAAAATTCATTTAAGGCCTCGTTGGTTACGTGAAGATTACTCCTGGAGCCATCCATCGTTCCATCCAAGAACTCAATTTTGTTGCAGAGTGCTTCATATTCCAATTAAGACATAGTTCAATTACCTTAACTTAACTTATGAAATAAATAAACATATATGTATATGTGTAGGTATTTATGTAGGTATGTAAAAAAAAAAAACGTTGCTTTTTTTCTAAGCGCTTTCCAAAGCGAAAGTCGCTCCATGCGAAAGATTTGGCGGTTCAGTGAGCAGTGAAGAGTTCGAGCGCTGTCAAGAGTTCGAGCTGGCGTGAAAGACAAACTTTTCTTATTAGATTCCCATCAAGAGCGCTCGCCTCGGCTGTGTCGCGCTTTGACAAGCCATTTAATTGTTCCATTCTGCTCTAAAGCCCGTGACGTCACAGCGCTCATATAAATAATAGGCCACAGGCTGGCAGCCCACTTATTTGTGGTTCAAACGTGAAACATGCGGCAAGTCGTGTTCTTCTGGCTGTGGCTGGTGCTCGCCGCTGCCCGGGCACAAGAGCTGAACGGAACGAGTGAAGTCTCCTTGTGGAGCAGGCACAGTCTGGGTCAGCTGCTGCAGCTGTGCCTGTCCGACGCCGAGGCGTGGCACTGCCTGGCCGAGCAGGCGGAACGACTGCTGGATGCAGTCCGGCAGGATAACAGCACCTGGCAGCTGAACGAGTATCTCAGCATCGAGCCACATCAGTCAAACACCATGCAGATGGAGCAGAGGGAGCAGCGGCGCGGCTCGCCAGGATTGCCGGGCAAGCTGCTGGAGCTGGCGCAGGGCAGGGCGCTGCGCGTGAGGCTGCCACGGCAGCTGACCATATCGAATGCCATCGATGACTTTGGCACTGCTCCGGGCTCGGATCAAGGTACGATAGCTCGCATAGATGATAAAATCGATAAAATAGTTGCGGGCTTTGGTAGTTTGGCAGTGCATGCGACAGCGACAGATACAGATAAAGATAAAGATAAGCTAAAAAAGAAAAAGAAAAAGAAAGACAAAGACAAGAAGAAGAAAAAGAAAAAGAAAAAGAAGAAGAAAAAGAAGAAGAAGAAGAAGAAGAAGAAAAAAGGTAAAGATAAGAAGAAAAAGAAAAATAAAAACAAAAACTGTTTCAATAAAACAGGTCGCAAGAAGAAGGACAAAGATAAGAACATGGCCATGATGGGCGGCATGATAATGCTGGCAACCTTCGCGCAAATGTTCCTCGGCAAGGTCATCATCATCGCTGGCGCTGCCTTCATAATGGCCAAAATCGCTCTCGTCATATCGCTGCTGGTGAGTCAATTTAGTAACGAAATGATTAACAAAATGAAGAAGAAGAAGAAGAAGAGAGAAAAAAAAACAATTTGCATTTGCGGCACTTAAAGAAAAAGTGCAATTAAAACTTAAATTGTTCATTTTTATTGCTGTGAAAGGGAAGCAAAGTAAATGAGAATGTGAAAAGTAATCGGATAGCATTAAGCCGAAATAGCTAGTGCATATATTAGCGCAGTAGCAGCTGCTGAGCTGATATGGCATGTTCGATAGTTTAACTCTCCATTTGTAGGCAAGCAAGGTGAGTTCTTGAATAGTAAACTCTTTGGCGTTTCATAATATCCTAAGGGAATGTAATGGAAGCATGTGGAATGGAAGAATATGATGAACTTTTCGAATATTGTTCACTTTTGTATCAATATATTTTCACGAGTTTATTAATTCAGACCTATTATTATTCTCCTACTGCTTTCTCTAGACAGCGCTCAAAGCAATTAGCTTTTGAGTGCAGACAATTATAAGAATCAATTCATATCGAACAGCTTTTGTATGCAGCCAAATAATAGCTCTTTGCAAAGGTATAATATTCATAAAATTAACAAATTAATTCAAAAAGTGACTAGCCAATAACATAAGATATCAATTTATTTTCAATGAAAAGAAAATCATGATAAATATTTGATATATTATAGCTATATATACATATATTTTGCTCGATTTCTCCGAGTGTAGGCTAAGCACTTTTAATCCGATCAAGTCAAGTGGCGCTACGCTCTTTTTTGCAGGGCAGTCTAAAAAAGGGATCGGGTGGCAGCAGTAGTTCGCCGGAGCACGTGATCGTGACGAGCGGGGGAGGAGGACACAGTCACGAGAGCGGCTGGCATCGCAGCATGCCCACGCACGACTACAGTGGCACCCATCCGGCGGAGACGGCAGGAGACGAGCCGCATTCGAGTCACGATCATCAGGCGTACTATGCCTACGAGATGGAGCAGCCGAGTCGACGACAATTGACGCTAAGTAAGGAGGCGAAGCCAACAAGTGCCGCAGTGCGCAGACCTGGTTTTCTCTAGCTTTATGTATTTCTGTGGTAAAAATAATCGTAACTATGATAACTAGGCTTAGGCTAAGTTGAAAGTCAACAAGTGTAAATACAATTGCAGACAAATTGAAGCTATGCGAAACAATTTCGGTTCTTTGGTGATGGGCGAGCTGCTGGGCGAGCTTATCGGGTGACCTTGGTGGAGGCGCCAGCGGCAGCGCCCGGGCCACCGCCTGCACCGCCTGCACCGCCGGCACCAGCCTGCGGCAACCAGGCGTGATAGGCCTTGTCCTGCATCATCATCTCGTCGTCGATGCTGCGATGATAGGAGCCACCGTCGTGGCCGCCGGTGTCATATTCGCCCTGGTGGCTCGACGAGTAGGTGTGGCTCTGCTGCACCTGCGGGTGCTTGACAATCTCATAGGTGGTCTTCTCGCCGCCGTCGTGGCTGACCAGCTTCTTCAGCCCGATGATGGCGCTGATGATCAGCGCGATCTTGCCCACGATCAGCGCCTTGCCGGCCACAATGGCTATCGAGTGATAGGCCATCTTCAGTATGGCCGTCTTGAGCAGCACGGCGGCTATGAACGGCCCCAGATACTTCTTGTCGTCCTTCTTCTTGCGGCCCTCGCTATCCACGCCCGCCTGCTCGCCGTTCATGAAGTAGCCCAGCAGCGACTGCAGCCAGTCCTGGCTGTTGCGTTCGCCGTAGCGCAGCAGCCGCGGCAGATTCACCTGCAGCTGGTGGCTGTGCAGGAAGTGGAGGAAGCGCTCCAGCAGCAGCGCGTCCAGGCTCTTGCTGGACATGTGCTCGAGGTCGCGATTGTTCAGCTGGTGCTCGCTAATGCTGGCGCGTCCTGTGCGCGTGTCCTCCGTGCCAGCGGCGCCGGCTCGCCTCACCAGATTAATGCCATCCACAATGCTGAGCTGCTGCACCTTAAGAGCGCGCCCAAGCAGGCGGGCTCCCTGCAGCTTGCAGCACCAAAAAATATCCTCGCTCTCGGCGCACTGCGTCCACACGTGCCGCATGGTGCGCAGCAGTCCGCTCTCGCCCGCAGCAGTCGCATTGTGGGGCACCTCCAGCGTCCAGATGGGCGCCGCCAGCAGCAGCAGCACGCCGAGTAGACCCAAACGCGTATCCATTGTGTGCATATGTGTATATCCTTTGGGATTAGCCTCTGCTCACTTGACAGCTGTGCGTGTGCCGTATGTTGTCGTTCTGGCCAACTCGCTCGGCCAACTGATCTTGTGCGGCGGACTGTGCCACAAATTTATACACTTGTAGTTGCCACAATTAGCCAGGCAGCCGTTGCATCCAGTTTTGCTTTTGTTGGCGCCCCAGTGCCAGTTGGCTATTCAGAGCGTAATATGCATGTTGGATGCACTTCTGTTCAGCTGCCGATCTGCCGATCTGCTGAGCTGCTGAGCTGCTGAGCTGCCGGCGCAATCTGCTTCGCTGCAGATTTAGTGCAATTGGCAGTAAAACCGCCAGCCAGGCATCCAGGCAGGCAGGCAGCCAGCCAGCCAGGCATTTTCATTGCTCATTGTGGTAATTAGCAAGTCTTTGTAATTATTTCAATCGGTTTTTTTTTTTTCGCTTTGTTTTTATCATCGCCGCTGCGCTTAATGATACATTCGCTCTGACGCCCACTTTCATCGGCTGCCCCCAAACATACAGACATTAAAACAAAAGAGTTTTTATATATGGAATATATACATCCAGCAGCCTTTCTTGTTGGCGCTTGTCTTTTATTTGGACACGCAAAGATTTTGGCACAGATATTAGCCATGCTGCATAGAAAACGAAATTGACTCAATTTGCGGGCAAATTGCAGTCTTGCCAACGGAATTGCTGGAAAATTGTCGCCGCCAATAGGAAAGTTAATGAAAGTGCGGGGCTATAGAACTCGGAACGAATCGGTTTGATCATTTATGGCAATTATTCTATGACAAGCCATGGGGCAACACAAGAGAATTTCTATTTTGCGCGGGTTGCTTTGACAGTAGTAACAACATTTGATTTTTATTAAATTTTATGTGATACTAGCTGGCCCGGCAAACGTTGCATTGCCCTCTATATTATTTCTAGGTAAAMAATTRHTGAAAGCTATGTTGTTCAGGCTGGGATACACTGATAAATTTATTAATCGGATTTTCATTCAAGCACCTTGTTGTAAACGACATTCTTCGTTTTTTGGTCGGGTGCAAGAACAAATAATGCGGATCGTTTGCCAACACGTGAGCATGCCACGTACAATTGACCATGAGAAAAACACGCATTTTCTAGATTGAGGCCACAAATAGTCAAAGATTGGCCCTGTGACTTGTTGATCGTCATGGCGAAGGCAAGACGAAGCGGGAATTGAATTCGTTTAAATTCAAAGGGCATATCTGTTGAGCTCATCGGAATCCTAGGAATAANGTTTATTTACTTCTACACTATTGTCAAAACTGTCACTGTTACCAAGCCTACTGGGTATAAAAAAAAATTTGAACATTTGGGGAAAAAACCGCGTTTTTCAAGTATTCGGCAAATTTTTTTAGTATTTTTAAGACCCTATACTAAACTCGTTGCGGAGACAAATCCAACAAATCAAAAACCATGAAAATTGGTTCAGCCYAAATCAASTTATAAGCRGYCWTCACTTTTACACAACTTTCTTTTATATATATAGATATAATAGCCACTGAAAACTTTAAAATCCTTATTGAGTAGAAAATCGTGTTGTTTTTGCCCAGCACTTCACATCCATGCGTGCTAGGAACAAAGGAACAATCAATATTGATTGTAAACATTTTTTTTTCAAACAGAATTTTAAAACGCTGTCACTATAAAAATATATTTTCCATGCTCCTTTATAGTCGCCATTTATTTATACATATGTATATATTAATCCCCGCAATCCATTGCAATGGCCAGTTGTAAAAAAGACTATAGCATGCTTTCAGGTTGCGCATTGAAATGACATATCAGGCAGCCTTTGTCAGCTGCATACCTGAAGCGCTGCAGCTGGCTTCTGGATAATTTGGGTTTTTTATTAAATTAATTATAATTTCAAAGAAATGCCAAGCAATGAGCTGTCAGGTGTATATTATCTCGTATACATAAGTAATTATATGTATATATGTGTGTGTGTATACATATATATATATATAGCTATGCAGCACAGGTGCAAGCAGCGTGAAAGTTGAAAATTTTGATGCTGCCAGCGAGACAAGATGCACTCTGTCTTGTTCTACATTTTGGACATGCACAGCTGAGCAGAGTCGAGCATGTGCTTGGGCTTGTATGGGAAGCCAGACCGCATAATCCGCTGGCGATAATTTATGGTAATTCACGTGGAGCTCACACGCAAGCGCAATGCAACTTTCGCAGTGGAAGCTGCAGCTCATCCACTGCAAATAGCCCAAAAAGCAGAGCTAATTTAATGCAAGAGCAACAGCAACAGCAACAGCAGCCGTGGCAGTGGCAGCAGTGGCAGAAATCGCCAATTTGCTGTAATTGCCATTTGTGTTAACAGCAGAGCAAACAAAACGCTTAGCAGCCTGCGCCGCATTCAATGCCAATTGCGGCGCTTAGGAACAAAAGAGTGAGGCAACGAACTTGCCAAGATCAGCACGAAACTTTTACCATCGATTTATTTGGCCTTTGTTTTGTGGCAGGCCCGGCAAGTAAACTAAAAACCAAACCAGAACGAGTCGTGGCGCTCTGGGAAAACGCCAAGCGTGGGTCCCAGGCAATTGCATAAAAGGAAAAGCCTTCGTTGTTTTGCTTGTTGCTTTGCTGCTTTTTTTTTTTTTTCATTTTTGGCGGAGTTTTCACTTTCACTTTGTGTTGACATCGAAGGCGCCCCCACTCGAAAAATACTACAGGTAGGCAGCGCAATTGCTGTTGCTTCAGGTGCTGGCCTGGCCCGATGGTTGCCTGGCTGCGATGGTTAATCAAAAATTAAGCGCTGCTGGCCAATTACGTTTCACTTTGACCCCGCCGTGGAAAGCCGGACTCCGTGACTCTGGCCTGACGAACTCTGCTGCGCTGATGAATTTATTATACGCCTCGCCGTGCTGTCAACCACATTTGTTGCTGATGCTGATGTTGATGTTGATGTTGCTGATGCTGCTATTGTTGGTTTTCTCAGGCAATTTTCTTTCAATTCAAGTCAATTTAATGTAAATATTTTGTGTAGATTTGCATGCGCTGCCAGCACGTTACAAATCATTTTGCTTGTGTTTTATTTAACAAATTCTGGCAGTAAAATTCAAATTTTTCCCCTGCGCATTTGCACACACACATACACATACACACACATACGCACAGCCGCAGTTTTCCACCCTCAGTGCGGGCTTGGCGTTTGAGCTTCTCGGAAATAAATTGCGTGTGCACAGCTGGGGGCTTTCTAGCCAACACAGCGCATAGCTCATAGCCGCGTCTGTTGTTTTTGTCCTCGCCTTGCGTTACGCCACATTAGAGTAATTCATAAATAAAGCTCTCGCTTGATTACCTTATATGCACATTCGCATTCGAGTTTCCCCCAAAGTATTTGCAGTGAAATTTCGATGGCAGCACATCATTTGCTTAGCGCCAAGTCAAACGACATGCAAAGTTCAATGTTAAATGCCAATCAATGTGAACATGGCCGCTGCAGTCGTTTGCTGCCAAATGCGAGACGTTGGCCGAGCTCCGAGCAGCGCTCATCAATCAGAGCCGGAGCCCCGTTGAATGTTTTCGTTTGCCGAAATCGCAAAGGCGTCACACAAAATATAAGACGAGTGCGGTGCATTAAATTTCACATTATAAATGAATTTGAGGCCTTGACATTCGTCGCTATTCAACAGAGCAGAGCCAGGCTCGCTCTCGCTCTCAGGGCCGCAGGCCTCTTGTCAGACTGCCATGATACGGCTGCAGACAACAGCAGCCGCAATAACTACGAAAAGTAAGAGTGACTGCCCGACTTCGATATGCTCTGTTCTTACCACTTTAACTATATTCGGGCTGAGGGATCAAGGTATAAAGGAAGAAATAATATCTCT